AATGGATAGAGAAGCTCTGGTACATTCACACAAAGGATTACTATGCTGCATTGAAAAACAAGGAATTCATGCAATATTATTCAAAATGGATGACCCTGTGCTGCTATTCTTATGAATCTGAAGTAAATTTGTGGTAGTTAATGTAATTTTAAAATAAAAATACAAATAGGTGGCTTTAGTAGAAATTCTTTTTTGCACAGTCGAAGAGGTTGAAAGTCTGAATGTTGAGGGAAGACTTTCTTGGGGAAGATCTTTGTCTTGTCAGCTTTTGTTTACTGGTTCCTTTGATATCTCCATGTGGTTTGATATCTATCTTCTGTTTTATATCTCAAAGGAGACTTTAGATACATGTTTTTGTATACTGTTGAGTTAGAACCAACTCACAGCCAACCCTCCAGCAGATTTTCAGAGGCAGTGGCAATCACATGGGATGAGATTCCATCTTTCTTCCTCAAAGCAGCTGGTGGCTTTGAACCATATATCATTGGGTTGACAGGAAACTCCTTACCAGTAAGACACCAGAGCTTCTTAAAATATATTGTAACTAATGGAGGGATGTAGGGTGTTAATCATAGGTTGCAACAGTTCGATGGGTAGTTGGGGTGAAGGAAGTGGGAAGGATCTTTTGTGAAAAACAATGTATTCAAACTTTGTAAATAAATCGGAGTAATATAAAAAATAATTAAAAATATATTGTACAGTAATCCCCCTTTCAATATCAAAGAGTACTTACTCATTCCTATGGGAGTTCTGGTAGCTCAGCAGTAAAGAATTGCAGGGGACGGAAGAAAATGTGTGACAAGGAATGAATAAATTTTTTTAAAAAAAATTGTGCTGCCAACGGTAAAGTAAAAAGTTTGAATCCACTAGCTGCTCTAGGGAAAAAGATGGGCACTCTCCTTTCATGTGATTTTCTGCTTCTGAAAACTCACTGGAGGGTGAGTTATGGGTAAGTTCTGACTTGATGGTATTCTTCAATAAAAATAACAACTAGTTCACAAGCAACTCGATGGCACATAACAACAGCAACACTTCACAAATGAGATTATAACTGTAAGCATAGAGATTAGGATTTATAACATGAATTTTTATTGGGGGTACACAATTCAATCCATAACAGCTTCCAACTACAAGTCTGGCAGCTTGAATTCATCCAGAGGCTTTTTGGAAGAAAGATCAAAGATACTTCCTTGAAAATCACAGCCTAGCTCTACTCTGACACAAATGGAGTCTCTGTGGGTTAGGATTAACTCTGAAAGGGATTTGTTTGGGTTTTGTTGTTGTTGTTCTTTATTTCTTGTTCTGTGAGACTTTCCTATATGAAAGAGTAGAACTGCTCATCTATTCTTTTTGATTGTCATCTTATGCAAGCAGATCACTATGCTGTCATTTAAGGATTTTTTCTGTAAGTCTGCTCAGTCATCCAGAACCTTCTCCAACCATCCCTCCTTTCCATTCCAAGTTTCTCTACATTTTCTTTCATTATATACCATTATTATTTGCAAGCAGGAATGAAATTTATAATGCATTTATTGCAGAAGACAAAAATTCTCACCACTGGACCAGTCGGTAGCATCAGGATGGATGATGAAGAGATTGAGATTGTTCACAGCTTCAGTTTGCTCAGCTCCACGGTCAACACTCTTGGCACCAGTAGCCAGGAAATAAAAAACTGTATTGCGATGGGAAAGTCTGTGGTTAGGGACCTCTCTAAAGTACTCAAGAGCAACAGTGTCTCTCTGGAGACTAAGGTGTGCCTGATACAGGCCATGGTTTTTGCAATCACTTGTTATGCATCAGAGAGTTGGACAATGACTAGGGAGGATAGAAGGGGAATTGACGCCTTTGAGCTGTGGTGCTGGAGAAGAGTACTGAATGTGCCATGGACTGCCAAGAAAACAAATAGATTCACCCTAGAGAGGGTTAAACCAGGCTGCTCCTTGGAGGCAAGGATTCTGGGGCTTCACCTGACATACTTTGGACATGTTGTAAGGAGAGACAGGTCTTTGGAGAGGGACATCATACTAGGCAGAGTGGAGGGACAGCGCAGGAGGGGAAGACCTTCTATGAGATGGATTGATTCAGTGACTGGGGTATTCGGGATGGGTGTGTCAGAGGCCATGCGATTGGCACAGGATAGCAGGGTTTAGGGCTGTTGTACATAGGTTCACTATGAGTTGTAAATGACTCGACGGCACATAACAACAACAACAACAACAACAACATTTTAATGGTTATTTTCATTTCTTCCAGATGTGAGCATTTTTCAAATAAAATCTTGGCATTTCTCTCACTAGTTCTTGTCGGTAAGGGCCTCACGCAGAGCAGAACAGAGACCTGAAGAATTCAGCTCGGTTTGCACAATCTCTGCTGTGCTCAACCATGCAGTTGCAGCCACTGTGTCAATGAATCTCATAGAGAGTTCCACTCTCCTTCTCTGCTTTACCAAGCATGATGGTGTTTTCCAGGAGTGGCCACTTCTTATTATATGCCCAAAGTATGTTTGAAGAAATCTTGTCAGTCACACTTTATGGGGTCTTCTGGCTGTACTCTCTTATAACTTCTCTAATAAGAAAGGCAGAATCATACCTGATTGGTGAGATTGGTCAGATTCAACTTCCACTGGGCCATATTTAGAAAATTATATTTACAAAATTATATTTACAAGGGGGCAACTTGAGCCATCTCTGGCTTTTTGTCCTTTTTGAAAGAAGGACCAGGTATCTTCCTCTTGCAAGAAGTAAACATGTATGGCCTGTAACTTTTTTGTGGATGTATTGTCAAATTTGTGTCATCATGACGGAATTGAGGTAAGGTTAAATTCAACTTGAGGGATAAGCAGAACATTTCAGTGTGGTGTATAAGAACATATCAATTAACAAAACTTCAATTCCCTGCCATAGAGTTGGTTCTGATTGTAGTGATCTCCTTTTAGGTGTACAACGCTGTAAATCACAATGAGAGGAGACTGTAATGTTTCTCCTGAAAAGTGTCTGATGAATTCAAACTGCTAGAGTCACATGGGCTTGTGGTTAGCAACACAAAAAACTGTGAATTTTTCCATCAGAGGTCCTTAACATATTGATCGACTGTTATATGCTGTCAAATTAGAATAGATTTGTAGCCCACCCTCCAGCAGATTTTCAGAGCCTACTCAGGAGCAACAATGTCTCTCTGGAGACTAAGGTGCGCCTGATACAGGCCATGATATTTGCAATCGCTTGTTATGCATCAGAGAGTTGGACAATGACTAGGGAGGACAGAAGGAGAATGGATGCCTTTGAGCTGTGGTGCTGGAGAAGGGTACTGAATGTACCATGGACTGCCAGGAAAACAAACAGATTCATCTTGGAGAGGATTAAACCAAGCTACTCCTTGGAGGCAAGGATTCTGGGGCTTCACCTGACATACTTTGGACATGTTGTAAGGAGAGACAGGTCTTTGGAGAGGGACATCATACTAGGCAGAGTGGAGGGACAGCGCAGGAGGGGAAGACCCTCTATGAGATGGATTGATTCGGTGACTGGGGTAATCGGGATGGGTGTATCAGAGGCGGTGCGGTTGGTGCAGGATAGAGCAGGGTTTAGGGCTGTTGTGCATAGGCTCGCTATGAGTCAGAAACGACTCGACGGCACATAACAACAACAACAACAACAAATCACACAAGAGGAAACGACCATTGTATTGGAAACAAAACTCCTTACTAAGTCATAAGGTCTCTATACAAGAACTGTAGTTAACTTAAGCTGTTTGTATTTAGTCAATTAATAACTTTGTTAGGGGAATTTAATATAATGGTTAAGAACATGGACTCTGGAACAGGAATGTCTGAAGTCCAATCCCAGTTTTACTCTCTGTTTAGCTACATGATGATTTGTGATTTAGCAAACCATTCTTTATACCTTATCAAATCTCTGAAGTCCCAGATAAACATGATAGCTCACATTTAGGACTGGAGTTATGTATTTTGTTGATATGTTCCTGTTATTTGCTGTCAAGTCAGAATCACCTCATAGCTGATCATCCAGCAAGTTTTCAAAGGCTATGAATCATGTTGTTGTTGTTGTTGTTATGTGCCATCAAGTTGAATGCAACTCATAACAACTCTATGCACAATAGCTCTAAACCCGGCTCTATCCTGAGCCAGTTTCACTGTCTTTGATACACCTATCCCCATTACCCCACCAATCCATCTCATCTGGGGTCAATCCATCTCATCCCGGGTCTTTTTTTCCTGTGCTGTCCCTCTACCGTTTCAAGCATGATGTCCTTCTCTGAGGACTGATCTCTCCTGGCAACATGCCCAAATATAGGAAATGGAGCTTCAAACTCCTTGCTTCCAAAGAGCAATTTGGTTTCACTCTCTCCAGGACAGATCTATTTGTTCTCCTGGTGGTCCATGGTATGTTCAATGCTCTTCACCAGCACCACAAATCAAAGGCATTAATTCTTCTTCTGTCATCCTTAATGATTCTCCAGCTCGCTGACAGAAAAATAATTGCAAAGACCATGGCCTGGATCGGGCATACCCTAGTCTCTAGACTAACATCATTGTTCTATAGAACTCTGGAGACATCCCTGAAAGCAGCTTTTCTACATGTAATATGTCACTTGATTCCTTACTGCTGATGCCTACAGTGTTGATTGTGGGGCCAAGCAAATTAAAACTGTCAATAATCTCAATCTCTTCACCATCTATCCTGTTGCTGCCAATTGACCCAGTAATGAGAGTCTTTGTTTCCTTGATGTTAAGTTTCAATCCATATTGAAGACTGCAGTCCTTGATCTACTGAAGCAATATATATCACACATATAAATTAGGTAAAATAATTCCCAAATGGGCATTGAGCAACAAATGTCTGTATATGTCATGATGTGCATAAATTTTACATTTTGTTATTTATTAAAGAAGACTGTGTGATATTACATATATACTATTACTGTATTATACTATTATATATCACATATATAAATATATCTATGTATGTTTTTCTTTGCAGGGAATCAATTACTTTTCTGTAAAAACCACGTTTTGGAATTTAAAGAAAACATGCAACGTTTAAAAAACAAAACTGAAAATAATCGCCAAGAGATGATGGAAGTTTTAGATACATTGAAACATCAAATTACACAGAGAGACTATCTATTAAGAAATTTAGGTTTGTTTTGCATATGTTTTGGGACATGATGGGTTTACATTTTGTTTTTTGAAATTTAGAATTTTGCCTTGTGAAGTTTCTTTTGACTATGGTCTTGCCTCCACCTATATGCTTCCACTATAGTCTAAATGAAAGCTACACTACTTGTGTAAACCTGCAGTGGCTCCCCTTCACGGCAGGCTAAAAAAATCCCATCTTTTGCTGCCCTAGTGTTTTCAGGCTTTCTGTAACACTTAACCCCTGTCAACCAATGACTGGTTAGTTCTCTCTTCTATAGTTTTGCCTTTTCTTGAAAGTCTTAGGAATATAATTAATTCACTTTGTGTCTGCCAGAGACTAGCTTCTTTGACTTGGTATAATTGTTTGAGACTCATCCAAGTGGTTACATGATCAATTGTTTGTTTCTTTTATATTGTTGAGTTGTATGATGTACAAAGAATGCAGTTTGTCCATTCACCCATTCAAGAACATTTGGGTTATTTCTAGATTTTGGTGATTGTAAATAATGTTACTGTAAAGATTCTTGTACCATGTTTGAGTATGTTTAGTATAAATACCTAGATGTAGAACTGATGATTAAGTGTAAGTTTAATTTAATAGAAATGAACATATTGTTTCACTGTCTTCTGGCCAAACCATTTGTTTTATATATATTAGGGATCTCTGGTGGCTTAGTGGTAAGAAGTTACACTGCTTCCTCAAAAACATACAATTCAAATTCACCAGCTACCAGTTACTCCATGGGAGGATAGGCAATCTTACCCCATAGGATTTACTGCCTCTGAAAACCTACCGGAAGGTTCTAACTCAAAGGCACATGTTGTTGTTGTTGTTAAGTGCCATCGAGTCGCAGGTGACTCATAGAGACCCTATGAAGGAGAGTCCTCGATGCTTGGGCAAAGGCATACACATGCACATATAATATACAATAGCATGTATATGTATATGTATGTATATATATGAAATCATTGATTACTGTATATATGTTATATACCACGGATTATTTTGTATATTATGTTGTAGAACACACTTAGAATAGGCTAACAGATATGGCAACTGAAATTTGGAAACACAAAGGAGGAGGGACATGGAATGAGAGGAGCATGAATGTAGGAAAACTTGACATTGTTAAGAAAGAAATGGAACATTTTTATTGACATATTAGGTTTTGGCAAAGTGAGATGGATTGGCATGGGACATTTTGAATCAGATGATTATCTGATCTACTATGCTGCAGATGAAATGGTAAGGAAAAATGAGGGGCTCTCATAGTTGAAAATGTCATTTCTAGATCCATCTTGAAACACAATGTTGTGAGAGACCAGATAACACTCATATGCATACAAGGAAGTCTGGTGAATATGATTATAATTCAAATATATGTACCAACAACTAGAGCCAAAGAGTATTTCTACCAACTTTTGAAGTCAGAAATCGATCAAACATGCAAACAAAATGCATTAATAATAATGAATGACTGGAATGAAAAAGTTGGGAACTGGGAATAAGGATCAATAGTCAGAAAACATTAATTTGGTGACAGAGTGAGACTGAGGATAGAAGCATAGAATTTTGCACAATCAATGATGTATTCATTGCAAATAACTTTTACAAGAAACACAAACACAGGCTATACACATGGGTTTCATCTGATGGTATGCATAAGAATCAGATCGATTACATCAGTGGAAAAGATAATTGAAGAAGTTCAATATCAGAAGTGAAAAGTAGGTTAGGTGCTGATTATGGAACAGATCATCAATCATCAATTACTCCTATGCAAATTCAAATTAAAGCTAAAGAAGTTAAAATGAAATCTACAGGAATTAAAATTTGATCTTGAGTCTATCCTCCATGAATTTAAAAAACAACGTAGAGATTTGAGGCCTTGAACATTAATGAATAAAAATCAGAAGAACTATGGGAAGATACCAAGAATTTCATCCATAAAGAAGGCAAAAGACCATTACCAAGACAGAAGAAGAAGAAAAGACCAAAATGGATGTCAGAAAAGACTCTGAATATTGCACTAGAATGCCAAGAAGCCAAAGCAAAGGGAAGAAATCAAAGAGTTAATGAGCTTACCATTATTGTAGAATGAGTATGAGGACCCTAGGATTAGGGAGGGGGAAAGCACAGGGCTGAGGATTAGGGGGGTGGGTGATAATTATATGATCACACAGTTTGATGAGTGGAGGAAGGCGGTGGTGAAGGAAATGGGAAAGATCTGGTATGAAAATCAATGTAAATAAGCTTTGTAAAGAAACCAGTATAAAATAATAATAAGAAAAGTTTAAGGAGCTGAAAAGAAAATGTCCAAGGGCAGTTCAAGAAGACAAAGCAAAGTATTATAGTGAAATGTGCAAAGAGCTGGAGCTGAAAAATCAAAAAGGCCAAACTCAACATTTTTTTAAGCTGAAGCAACTAAAGAACAAATTCAGACCTCAGATTGCAATACTTAAGGATGCTATCGTCAGAATATTGAATGATCCAAAAACCATTAAAAGATGATGGAAGGAGTATACAGAGTCATTATACCAAAAAGAATTATCTGACACAGAAGAATTTCAAGACACAACTTATGATCAAGAGGCAATGGGGATGAAGGAGGAAGTGCAGGCTGCTCTGAAGGACTTAGCAAGAAAGAGGCCCCAAGAATTGATGGCATACCAATTGGCATATTTCAACAAACTGATGTTGCCCTGGATGTGTTCATCAGGTTGTGCCAAGAAGTCTGGAGGACAACTACCTGTCCAACCGACTCAAAGAGATCCATACTTATTCCCATTCCAAAAAAAGATGACCCAACAGAGTGTGGAAATTGTAAAATAATATCACTAATGTCACCTGTGAGCAAAATCCTGCTGAAGATTATACAAAAATGACTGGAAAAGTGCGTCAACAGAGAACTGCCAGTTATGCAGACTAGATTTAGAAGAGGCCATGGCTCTAAGGACATCATAGCGATTGTGAGCTGGATCTTGGCTGAAAGCAGAGAGAACCAGAAGAATGTCTATGTGTGTTTCATTGACTTTGCAATCACAACAAATTGGCTCTCCTTGAGGAGAATGGGAATCTCAGAGCATTTGATTGTGCTCATGCGAAACCTCTATGCAGACAGGAGGCAGTCGTCAGAACAGAGCAAGAAAACACCGTGTGGTTCAAAATCAGGGAAAGAGTGTGTCAGTGATGTGTCCTGTCTCCGTATCTTTTCAGTCTAGATGCAGAACAGATCATTCGGGAGGCTGCGCTCTATGAGGAAGAATGTGGCATTAGGATTGGAAGAAGACTAATCAATAGCCTACATACGCAGCTGATGCAACCTTGCTTGTTGAAATTGAGGAGGACCTGAAGCACTTGCTGCAGAAAGTCAAGGACTGCAGTTTTCAATGAGAATTGTGGGCCAAACAGCAGCATCACGATAGATGAAGAAGAGATTGAAGTTGTTAACAATTTCAGCTTCCTTGACTCCACAATCAACACTCTTGGCACCAGCAATCAGGAAATCAAAAGATGAATTGTACTGGGAAAATGCTGTACAGGGAACTCTCCAGAGTGCAGAAGGGCAACAATGTCTGCCTAAGGTATGCCTGATTCAGGCAAATTACTTGCAATTGCATGAGAGAGTTGGACAATGACTAAAGATGACAGAAAAATTGATGCTTTTGAGTTGTGGAACTAGACAAGAGTATTGTGCAGACCACCAAGAAAACAAACAAGTTTTCTTAGAGAGGGTGAAATAAAATTTCTCCTTGGAGGCAAGGATTTTGAATCTCTGTTTCACATTTGGACATGTGGCCCAGGAGGGAACGGTCGTTGGAGAAGGACATCATGCTCAGAAGTGTAGATGGACAGCGCAGGAGAGGAAGTCCCTGGATGAGATGGATTGATACAGTAATTGGAATAATTGGAGTAATGGGGTTAGGTGTTTCACAGTCAGTGAGACTAGCTCAGGACAAGGCAGGCTTCAGAGTTGTTGTACATAGGGTCACTATAACTTGCAGGCTACCTGATAAAACAATAGCAACTACATCAAAAGATTAATCACACTGGGAAAATCTGCTGTCAGGAAACTCTCCAGAGTGCAGAAGAGCAACACTTGTCAGTCTAGAGACCAAGGTGCACCTGATCCAGGCCACAGACTTAGTGATTACTTGTTATGCATCAGAAAGCTGAACAATGACTAGAGATGACAGGAGGAGAATTGTTGCCTTTGAGCTGTGGTGCTGGGGAAGAGTATTGAATATACCATGGACTTCCAGGAGAACCAACAGGTTCATCTTGAAAAGGGTGAAAACAGGCTGCTCCTTGGAGTCAAGGATTCTATAGCTTCATCTGACATACTTTGAGCTTGTTGCAAGAAGGGAACCAGTCCTTGAAGAAGGACATCATGCTCGGAAGGAACAGCACAGAAAAGGAAAATCCAGGATGATATGGATAAACACAGAACTGGGACAATGGGGATAGATATATCGGAGTCAGTGAGACTGACTCAGGACAGGGAAAGTTCAGAGCTGTTGTACTGTCTTGCTATGTGAAGTCACAGGTGACTCAACAGCACATAGCAGATACTCCTCCTCCTCCTCCTATTACTACTACTATTTTGCTGCTGTCTATTTCTTAAGTCTGTTAACCTCTGTTTTATGTGTTTTGCAGTTCTACCATTTGGTGTGCAGATATTTACTAGGGATATATCCTCTTGTTCTATTGTGCCTTTAATCATTATATAGTGTCTTTCCTTTTCTCTTATGGTGGTTTTCACCCACAAGTCCATTTCATCAGATCAGAGATCAAGATTGCCACTCCTATTTTCTCATGATATCATTTGCTTAGTATAGTTCCCCCTCCTTTTAACTTTTAGTCTTTCTTCTTATTTCTTCAATGTATCTCAATTTGGCCACATATTGTTGAGCCTTGTTGGTTTGTTTGGGGGTTTTTAAAATCCATTCTGCTACTCATTTTCTCTTAATTGTTTTTAAATATTACCTTTAAAGTAAAGAAAATATGTAATCTCTGAGCTACTTTTTTTAAGCCCTAGATTTTTAATTATTACCATATAATGACAATGTGTGATTTAAATTATTAATTGTCGTTAAAGTTTAAATAGGACTAGAGGGGGAATTCCATGAAGCTATAAATTCAGAAGCCCTATTGTTTTCTTTCTTTCAGGTAAACATAAAAATGTGGACGCAATGGGTAAGAATAAAGCAATATCTGATATATTTGAAGACTTCAAGATTTTTTTGCCTCATCTACAAAAAGTAGATAGAATTCATCCTAATGTAATTCTTAGCAAAGGGAAAAAAGATGGTAAGAGAACTTAAAAATGAAAAACATATTTTTCTCTCTGGAGACATATTAAGTTTTAACATATAATCCATTAGTATGCTCAGACTAGTATGTAGTATTTACCCATCTTAGATTCATTTATACAACTAGAAATATGGTTGAATGCAAATATAATTTTAACACTAATGCTTTGAAATATGTCATGTACCGGAAACCCAATGGAGATTGCCGTGAGTTGGAATCAGCTTGATGGCAGTCTTTTTGGTTGGTTTGGTTTTTGTTTTTAAAAGTT